TGTGAAGGTTCCATTCCCCTGCGGCCCCAAAAATAATAAATGAAGTAAACAAATTGTAATTGAAATACACACAGAAAAATGTACATAATAGTATAGTGTGATGGATTTTTGTTATTGTTTTGTTTTTGAGACAGTGTCTAGCAATGTAGCACAGACTGGTCTGAAACTCAAGGACCTCCTGCCCCTGCTGCCCAAATGCTGGGATTACGGGTGCACAGCAACTTGCCAAGCCTATGAACTTTTACTAACTGAACACATTGAAGGGTAATAAAACTGTCAAGAAACAAAACATTTGCCAGCTCTGGGGATCCTCTGTTTTTCCCTTCCAGTCACTACACTTAATCAGTAATAGCCATCTTAACTTCTAAGGCCACAGATTAGTTTTGGCTGTTTTTAGTTTGTTTGGTGGTACTGGGGTTTGAACTCAGGGTTTCCTACTTGCAAGGCAGGCACTCTTCCACTTGAGCCATACCTCCAGTTCCTTTTTGCTCTGTTTATGTTGGAGATGGGGGTCTCACTTTTTGCCCAGGCTGGCCTGACCTGCCATCTTCCTCATTTAAACTTCCCTCCCTGTAGCTGAGATGACAGATGCGTATTACCCCATTCAGCTTACTTCCATTGAAATGGAGGCTGACAAACTTGTTTTTGCCCAGGCTGGCTTGGAAATGCTATCCTCTCGATCTCAGATCTTGGCCTCCAGAGTAGCTAGGGTTACAGGCTGGTAGAGCACCTGCCTAGCAAGTATTCCTGAAAAACTTCATTGCTGTTTTGTTTTTGCTTTATTTAGCTTTATTGAGGTATAATTAAATATAATGAAATGGACCCATTTGAAGAGTGCAGGTTGATGACTTGCTGAACACTCAAATACCACCATGATGCATCAAGACACAGGACAATTTCCATCTTCCCAGGAAGTCTCCTCATTCTACTTTGTAATCAGTGTCCCCCACCCATCTGACAGCTGCAGGTTTGATTTCTATCACTATGAATGAGTCCTTTTGTAAGTAAGTACTCCCAAGAGTCCAGCCTCTTTCCTTCCCCACACTGTCTGTGAGACTCATCTGTCAGTTTATCTCCACTGTTGCCTGCACTGATTACTCCATTTGTTTATATTTTAGGCAGTACTGGGGTTTGAACTCAGGGCCTCGTGTTGCTGGGCAAGCACTCTGCACTTAAGCCACGACCCAGTCCGTCCTGGTTGTTCCTTTTGGTGCACACATGACACCATGCATCATGGCTCGTTTGTCCACTCTCCAGGGCATGCACACTTAGGCTGTTTCTGCTCACCTGTAATAAATAACTCTGGTGTGATCGTTCAGGCACAAGACCTGGTGTGGCATATGTTTTCGCTCCTTCCAGGGTAAACACCTGGGAGCTGAGTTGCTGGGTCACAGGGTAGGTATATATTTAACCTTATAAGAAACTGCTGCTGGGCTGGAGGCATGGCTCAGGTGATACAGAGCCTACCTGGCAAGTGCCAAACCCTGAGTTCAAATCTCAGTACCACTACCAAAAAACAAAGAAAAGAAAGAAAAAGAAAAAGAAATTGCTGCTGGGTGTTGTGGTGCACATTATAATCCCAGCCTTCAAGAGGCTAAGACAGGAGGATAGTGAATAATACGCCAGACTGGGGTGCACAGCAAGACCTTGTCTCAAAAAGCCAAGAGCTAGCAAGGCACTGGTGGCTCATGCCTGTAATCCTAGTTACTTGGGAGGTTGAGATCAGGAGGACAGCAGTTGAATGCCAGCTTGGGCAAACAGTTCCCAAGACCCCATCTGCAAAATAACCAGAGCAGCTGGGTGACAGTGGCTCACACTTATAATCCTAGCAACTCAGGAGGTAGAGATCAGGAGGATTGTGGTTTGAGGTTAGTCTGGGCAAGTAGTTCAAGACATTATCTCAAAAATACCCAACACAAAAAAGACCTAGTGGAGTGGCTCAAGTGGTAGAGCACCTGCCTAGCAAGAGTGAGGCCCTGAGTTCAAACCCCAGGATCACCAAAAACAAAAAGCAAAACAAAACAAACAGACAAAAAATAACCAGAGCAAAATGAATTGGAGGTGTGGCTAAAGTGGCAGAGTGCCTGCTTTGCAAGTGCAAAGCCCTGAGTTCAAACCCCAGTCCTACAAAAAAAAAACCAAGCAGACAAACAAACAACAACAAATAAAAAAGCAAGGGCTGGGGACATAGCTCAGTGGTAGAGAACAGACCCTGGGTTGGATTCCCAGGACTGAAACAAAACAAAAACAAAACAAGACCAAAGACCTGTCAAGTTGTTTCCTAAAGATGTCACAGCACTGAGCACTCCCGTGGATGAGAGGCCAGTTGCTCTGCAGCCCGCCAACACCGAGCTCTGTCATCTCTTCCATTTTAGCTATTCTATGGGTCTATGCATTATAATTTGGGGGCAGTATCGGGGTTTGAACTGCCTGCTAGGCAGGAGCTCTACCACTGCAACCGCGCTCCAGCCCTTTTAGAGGGTCTGCTGGGACTCTGGTTGGCATTTCCCTAAAGACTGCCGGTGGGAAGCTTCTGGCCATTTGCATATTTTCTTTGTGAACGTCTGTTCCAGTCTCTTATTTGTCTTCGTTATGTACTTCACAGTCCTGCCTCTGCCATCTACAGCCTCAGTACCTTTTTGTATTACAGGGCTGAAACATTCTTCAAACTCATCTTCCTCACTCCAGCAGCTTCTCCATTATGCCCACGAGCCTTCCTAAACACCACACTACGCAAGCCACTCCCCTGCTCTAAAGCCTTCTATGGCTCCCCAATACAAGCAGCTGGGGCAAGTCCCAACTTTTCTGTTATTCAAGGAACCTCCAGCCCCTGATCCTGGTCTTTCTCTCCTGCCTTTGCTACTGATTTCTACAACTCTACCCGTACCCTCTGCTTTGAGGACCTAGAATACCCTGCTCTCTTCTGAACCAAGACTGTCTTTCTCCAGAGGGGTGCCAGCCAGCCCACTGCACAGACTTCCTGGTTCCTCTAAGCTTCGTTAATGGCTGCTACCACTGTTTCTGGTTGGCACTCGGCATTTGCCTCTTTGGATCTGTCAATTTTCTTGTGGTGCAGGGGATCAAACCCTTGCCTCCTAATGGTGCCACTTAGATGTCTGGGGCAGTCCCGGGGCTGGACAGAGGCTTATTTGTATCAGAAAGTTCCTCGGATATATGACAAAAGTGGTAGGATTCTACCTTATTAATGAATAATCCCCCTTATTAATACTAATTCAATTTTAATTTTAGATAGACTTAAAAATTGTACATATCCTCTACTTGAAAATTGAAGTATGTCAGGGGACAAGGGTTCAAGACCCCCTGTAGGGCTGGGGGCATAGCTCAAGTGGTAGAGAGCCTGCCCAGCAAGCATGAAGCCCTGAATTCAAACTCTGTAGCAGCATTCAAAAAACAACAACAAAAAAAAATTTAAGACTCTCTGTAGATAAAAGCTAAATGGATTTGGAGGAAGAGCCTTGGATTTGATTTTTTGGGGTGGTGGGGGGAGGTACGAGGGTTTGAACTCAGGGCTTCATGCTTGCTAGGCAGGTGCTGTATGGCTTAAGCCACGACCCCAGTCCTTGGATTTGAGTTCTAGTTCTGCCATTTCAGAAAGGTCATCTCTCTGGGTCTCCATTGGTTAAATGGGCAGGATGAATTTTTCCTTTTTCTTTTCTTTTTTGGTGCTGGGGACTGAACTCAGGGCCTTGCACTTGCCAGGCAAGCGCTCTTCCACTGAGCTAAATCCTCAAGGATGAATTTTTAAAAAAACGAATTGAAAAAGTAAAACAAATAGGAAGGATGCTGTCTTCAAAGAATTGCAGGATTACACATGAACAGTACGTGAAAGTCGAGGATAAACTGTGAGAAGCCCATGTGTGTGGCCAGAACTGCTCTACATCCTTGCATGCCTTTAGAACACCGACCTGGTAAAGAAACCTCTTTTATAAAGAATTGGCGGCCTAGGCCTGTGGGAATTCATGACAGAATACCAGCAAAGAACCAGAGTCATTACTGTCCTCCTCTCTCACAGGTTCCCTCCCTCCTCCAACCTTACCAAGGGTTGCCAAAAATGTGGCTGTCCCCAACACATCAGACCTTGTTTTTTCTAGAGCTTTCCGCATGAAACTGGGGAAGGAAAAGGAGACAGGACTCTCTGGAGCAGAGAGTCTATAGAGGTCAGGGGTTTATCCTCTGAGGACTAAGGTCAGCTCCTTCAGGGCTGGACCGGTTTGATGGGAGGGACTAGGGCAGGCCCCTCAAATCTCAGGGGAGCCGTCAGGCCCTGGGTTCAGACCTGACCTGGGCGCCCCCATCCAGTCCAACTGCAGAGGGAACTCACCACCTCCCCTTTCCCCCAGCATGGTGACCTCTGGGCATCTTTTCTCCCCATGGGTCTCCTCTGCTAAGCCTCACTCAGAGGGGGCCTTTACTCCACATGCACCTGGGAAGAGTGAGTCCTTGGACTTTCTGCCCCTGGAATTTGCATTTACGTGCCATGCAGTGTTCCAGGTACTGAAGCTCCTGCCAGAGCCAAAGTGACAACGCAAGGAAGGCACTGAGACGGGCAGGAACAGATACCTGAGTCCTGTTGGGGTGGGTGTGACTGCTAGGTGCCATTAAAAGAGGGCAAGAATGCTGCAACGATCGCGCAGGGGGCCGAGAGAAGGCGAGGAAGTTGAGGTGGGGCAGGAGCCCTTCTGGGGTCTCTGCGCCCCCAGCCGCGTTCCCTCTACCCTAGGCTGGTTGTCACTCCCACCCCCATCCCCCCGCTCATCACTCCCCCTCTTCCTGCGGCGGTTCGGGTGCAGCCGGCCAGTCCTGGGCCACGGATGGGCGCGGGAGGAGGCGCTGGGTGACCCAGGGGCTGGCGGGTGTCCTCGCCCCGCACGTAACTCCGCCCCCGCCCGGCTCCCCGCCCCGCCTGCGCCGCAGCCGCACACGCCCGAGTCCTCCAGTCGTCCGCGGGCGTCCCCGACCCCGCGCGCCCCGGGGAGCCCATGGAGCCGGCGCGCGGCGCGACCCCGGGGGACGACGCGGCCGAGGCGCTGCTGGGCGACCTGGAGCGGCTGGTGCAGGACGTGGTGAGGACGAGCTCGTGGTGGGAGCGCCACGGCGTGGACTGCGCCATCCTCGCGCTCAGCCTCTTCGCCTTGCCCGCTGGTGAGGGGCAGAGGGACGGAGCGACAGGGGGATGGGCTCCGAGGTGGGATAGGGTATAGCGGATGGATGGTAGCGGGGCAGGGAGCACTGCCGGTCGGCAGGAGGAGATGGCCCCGTGCCCGGGAGACCAAGACCCAGGGTTGCACCGCAAATCCCAAAGTCTGGTTTGAGGTGTCCTGCCCATGTCCCCAGAGGAGCTGGGCACTAGAGGCGGGAAAAAAGTGTAATGACTTGAAGGTGGTGGAAGGAAATGTTGAAAGGAGCGAGGGAGGGTTGAGGGGGGGGAATAAAGTGACCTGGGGAGGGGGAGGATGTTCTATGGGAGACACCACGGATGGGGTGGGGGAGGGAGGACAGAGTGTGGGGGTTTCCCCTGGACCTCTTCTGGTCTGGAACCTCCAGGACATCTGACTCCATCTCTGCTCTGTCTGGGGCTCAGGAGGGCCACCCAGGCAAAATGGGGACCAACGGAGTATCCCTGGCAAGCCCATGGGGCCCTGTTTTGTCTTAAATCCTGTGCAGAGCTCCAACCCATCTCTCTCAGGCCTTAGAGGGACCTGCCTCCCTCTGCAGGGTTGGCCCTACTTTGGGCTGGGATTCTGCAGTGTGGTCTGGGCCCAGATCTCCAAGAGCTGAACAGAAATCCTATTCCTTTGATCCCTCCCCCTGCAGGATTCCTGTGCCTGCACTTTGAAAATGTTCTGGTCTTTGCCATTGGAATCACTATCTTGGGCGTGTGTCACTACACGCTCACTGTCAAGGGCAGTCACCTGGCCACTCACAGCGCCCTCACTGAGTCCAAACGCTGGAGCAAGGTCTGGATGCTTTTCTTTGTGGAGGTGAGCTTGGGAGAGGTGGAGCGGCTGTGGCATTACGTGTGCAACCTCATTGTTCCATGTAGGCACGCAGGTCTGTTCAGCTATGTGTGAGTGTCCACATGGGCAGGCAGCTGCTGTTGTTGGTATTTGGATCCAAGTGTGCATGTACACTCGTTCGTATGCCCTAATTCATGTGTGCATGTGTAAACTTCTCCAACCCCTTGAGAGGGAGTTTGAAGTGGTGGGTAGAGAATGGCAGTGATGCATATCCAACCTTCTACCTGTGGCAGTGGACTTGGCTTGGGCACCCTTGTTTCTCCTGAATCTGCCCACTCACCTTTCAGTAGCACTGGGCCAAGTGTGACCAAAGCTTCTTCCTCCTACCAGAACACCTTGGCTGGCCAGTTCCTGCTCTGTAATTGTCTTGCTTCATACCTGCAACCTCAGGGGCCTCTAGGTTTTGCAATCAGAGTGTATAATGTGACCCATGGTAGAAAGGGAGGGGAGAGTGCTAGTGTCACAGCTCATACGCCTCTGACACCTGAGGATGACTGAGCTATTCCAAGAAGCTCCCTCCTCCCCCAGATATCCAGGAAGGACCCTCCTGTCTCCCTCCTGACCCTTGCCCCCACCTTCCCCAACCCCACCTTCCCACCTGTGGGCCAGCCAGTAAGGCAGTTTCCTGGTCAGTTTGTTTTCTCCTGATTGGTGTCCAGGTGTTTCTAGATTCTCTGCCAAGCTTGTTCTCGCTTCCCCTACTGGGGACCCTCACCTGTTCACCCAGGTCCATTAGGAGTAAATCAGAAAGCTGGCAACAGAAACACTTCTTGTCTGGCAGGGACTGGCTAGTGGAACCAATTAGCTCAATTATTCATTTGTTATAAAGTCATGAAACTTTACAAACTTTACATAAAGCCAGGTCTAGTGGCTCAAGCCTATAACCCCAGGTACTTAAAAAATGAAGGCAGGAGGATCATGAGTTCAAGACCAGCCTGGGCAAAGGTAGCTTGAGACCATATCTCACCAAAAAAAAAAAAAAAAAAAAAAAAAATGAAGCTGGGTGCCGGGCGCCAGTGGCTCACGCCTGTAATCCTCTTGCTACTCAGGAGGCAGAGACAAGGAGGATTGCAGTTCGAAGCCAGTCCAGGCCAAATAGGTTCATGAGACCCTATCTCGAAAAACCCTCACAAAATAGGCTGGTGCATCTCTTTTTATAACCAGAGAGTTGGATACTTCATCTCATGTATTTACTGGCCATGCCTTCTTCAGTGGCTCACGCCTGTAATCCTCTTGCTACTCAGGAGGCAGAGACAAGGAGGATTGCAGTTCGAAGCCAGTCCAGGCAAATAGTTCATGAGACCCTATCTCGAAAAACCCTTCACAAAAATAGGGCTGGGTGCATCTCTTTTATAACCAGAGAGTTGGATACTTCTTCATGTATTTACTGGCCATGCCTCTTCCTTTGAGAACTCCCTGTTTAATTCATGTGTACATTTCTTCATTGGGACGTTGATTCTTTGGGGGTTAAGGGTTTTTTTTTTTGTTTGTTTGTTTTGGTGGTGCTGGGGTTTGAACTCAGGGCCTCATGCTTGCTAGGATGGTGCTCCTACTGCTTGAGCCACTGCACCAGCCCAAGAGGTTGAGTTTTTTTTGAGTTCCCTGTAAATTCTGGCTATTAGTCCCTTGTTGGATGAATAGCTGGCAAAGATTTTCTCCCATTCTGTGGGCTGTCTCTTGAGTCTACATAGAGAAATCCCTTCGTACATCAACTTAAACATTAATAAAGAGGACTGTAAACTAGGTGCAGTGAGTACGAGGGGCACTAGTGGAGGGGGGAGGGTGAATGGTTGATGCACTCCATGTACTTATATGACATAGAACAAAGAAAACTCTTGTAACTGCTTTAAGTGGGGTGGGGAGGGGGTTGAGAGGGAGGGAATGGCTCAAGGTGTAGACCCTGAGTTCAAACCCCAGTACCACAAAAAAAGGAAGAAAAAAAAAGGGGGTGCAGGAGTCCTGAGATCAACTCCCAGCACTGCAAATCCTCCCCCAAAATCAAACAAAAACCCTAACTTTATGTAGCTACGCAGCTGCAGCTTATGGCATATCACATCAGCTGAGTGGGGGAACCATGTCTTTCTTAGAGTTTTCTAGTCTCTGACTTTTTTGTTTCTCCACTTTCCACCGGCACACGTTTTTGAAGGGTTGAGGACAAGTGGAACCCACAGGTTCTATATCATCAGAGTCAACTTCAAGACACTTCCTTTTCCAGGGTCCCCTTGGGTGTGGTCTCAGTCAGACTGGGAGGGCCAGGCTGGACCTGGGGTTTGGGGTCAGATCCTGAGGGGTAACTCTGGCTGGGCCATCTGCAGGGGCAGTGTCAAAAGCTGGGGCAGGATTAGCTGTGTTTGTATTTTCCAGAGCTGAACTGAGTGCCAGGAGCCTGGCAGTAGCTGAGGGTAAGCCAACATTGTGAACTGCAGACTACCAGGCCGCAGGGGATTTCTTGTACAGAGATGGCTCAGTGGCCTCAAACTTAGGCATATAGGTGAGCGATCTAGAGGTCCAGGCTTGCTGGAGAAGGAGGTCCTTAGGCCAAAGCAGCTCTCAAGTTCCCAGGTGACTCTGGTGCCCATTCAAGTGTGAGAACCCCTGACTCTGACTGCCATGGGGACACAGGAACTGTTGTGTGTGCTGAGTGGAGGCAAGGAGCCAAGCTGACAACTTTGGGAAACCTTCTCAGCCCCTCCCCAGCTCCTGTGGGGAGCTCTGCTGGACCCAGGCAGCCTTGGGGCCAGATCTCACTTCACGCAGTCTTGTCCTTGTGAGCTGCAGACCAGTGGCCTCATCTCTGCCTCTTTGTCTGTTAAGCTCCTGTCATAGGCCTGAGCTCTTGGCAGGTCTTCCATTAATGTCTGTTGACTGTGACCCTGCAGTTCACTTGCGGACAAGGTCCAGGGAAAAGCTGACTGATGAAGGGTCAAATCCTAGAGGTCGGTGCTTCTTTGAGGCTGGGGTGTGAGGGCTTGGTGCCCACTGGCTATCATGCTGCAGTGAACTGTGGGGCAGGACACAAGTAGTTTGTCCCTCAGGCCCTCCAGTAATCCGGGTAGTGAGGATGTCTCTTACTATGTCTTTTCTGACCCCAGGGTATGGCTCTGGCCCCTTCTGAGCAGGGGCCAGTCCCTGAATGTGGGGAGAAGGAATGGATGATCCCCTTCCCCCAGCTGGCATGAGTGGGGTGACTGGAGTCCTCAAAGAGGGAGCTGGCTTTGTGGGTCACGTGGCGGGGGGACCTGTGCCAGGGGAATGGCCTTTGAAGCCTCACACCCCAGCTACTGCCCTGGCTTTCAGCAAGATACTTATATCACATGCAGAATTCGGTGCCTCATGAAATCCACAGAATTGATGAATGACCTTGCTTTCTCATGAAACCAGGGTATGCATTGCCTTCAGGCCTGGTCTTGACTGCTCCACGCTTCACAGTGTTAGCTTTGCTATTTCTCCCTGGAGGGAGCACACCACTAACTTCAAGGACAGGGAGTTTGTAGTGGTGTTTGTTTCATTATTGTTTTGTTTTTGTTAACTGAGAGGCCACAGAGCTTGGCAGAGCTGTGCATATCTTGGGGAGTTGAGTTACATGGCACAGAAGACAAGCACTTGTGACATGGGACCTCAGAGGATGCCCAGGAGCCTTCCTGGGCTCTCATTCTTCCATGTCCTGTTATCTTCTCCTTTTCACCCTGCTCCAGTGGGGCCTGTGCTTTTTCACCTTGACCTTTAGGAGGCTCCAGCACTGCAGAGCATCTGGTCCGAGGCCCTAGATTGCTCTGGAGGTCAGGCAAATTCTGCACCCTTGGGACTCAGCTGAGTACATTGGCTTTCCTGGAACCCAGCATTTGCTGGGATTGCCTCCATGTTTATCAGCTCTGAGCTGGTGTGGAACTAGGACCTCTCTGACCCAGTGGACCTGGGCAGTGAGCAGGCAGGATGAAGGGCGGCTGCTACTGTGGGTTGTATTGGAAGTTATGTACCCTTCCACACGCCAGGTGAGCTTCTTCTGAAGACCCATTTCTGGCCTATGTAGGAAAGTCCCATCCCTTCCAGTTTGTGACTCTCCAACCCTGGCCTTAGCAGCAGGGTTCCTGGCAATCTGTGTCCTGGGTTGCATCACTGGAGCTGCCCAGGCATATCCTCAGGACTTCCAGTGAAGGGTGCCATGCTCAGATGGCCACCCAGAAGATGTTGGGGGCTGGGGGGAGGAGAAGCAGGCCACCATGGCTTCAGTCCTGAACTTGGGAAGGACTGACAGCAGAGGCCTTTAGGGACTCACTCTGCCTCGTCCCATGCACAGTTCAGGATGCCCCTGTGTGGGTGGGAACAGGCTGTGCCAGTTACTAAGCTCTTTATTATGTCTCAGCTTCAAACCCTCCTTGTAAAGTCAGTTTGTGCTGCCAGGGTGGAGTCACAGCTGGTCCACAGGGAGCCACGCACAGCAGGCTGGGCCCTGCAGGAAGGGGTGTTACACAGGGGAAGGCCCTGTCACCATCTTTCAGGTCCCTTGAGGTGGTGCAAACAGCCATGACCCAGTCTTGATCCTTGCACATTCCCTTCTGGCCTGAGTTCAGTGTGGGGTCTCTGACCTCTCTGCTTGTTCCCAGCCAAATGCTGAGGGCTTTTGTGAGGGGGGGGAGGCGGGGGGATTGAACTCAGGACCTTGAACTCAGGGCCTTGTGTATGCCAAGCATGAACTCTACCACTGAGCTAAATCCCAGTCCTTAATTACGATTTCTTATTTCTTTTTATGTTTAAAGTGTGTTTAGAAGGTAAATGCAGATCTTCAGTACAAAATATGCTTTTGTATACAAACTTCTTTATCTATCTATTTATCTATTTATTTTGTAGTGCTGGGGATTGAACCAGGGTCTTGTGCATGCTAGGCAAGAGGACTAGCCACATCCCCAGCCATTTTGATTTTTTTATATTTTGTTTTTGAGATAGGGTCTCCCTAACTGCTCAGG